GTTTGCTGTGGCCAGCCCGGCCCGGTGCCCGGCGAGGCGCGGAAGCGCTCGGCCTGCTGCCGCCGCCCGCCGGGAGCCGGGAGCCGCCTGCCGGGAGCCGGGCTGGCCCGTGAGTCAGCGGCCCTGGCGCCCCCCCCGCCTCCATACACGGCCGGGCCGGCCCCGACCACGGCCAGGGCGCGCCTGATGGACCGCCGTGTCAGCAGACTCAGGGCCGGTGGCGGGCGGTGACGCGCGACACGAGGGCGGACCCTCCGGTGCCACCCAAGCGCGACCACGTCCGCCCCGACGGCGCGCGGGTGGAGACTACCAGTATCGCATATCACAACTCGCACATACCATCGAGACGCGCTGGAATAACGTGCAGCCTCAACAGTGTGCGACTACGTGGTCGGGGCAATCATACTGCATACAACGAGACCGAGCAGAGATGCGTGCAGGCTTCGGTGGGAAAGTGAAGCGAGCACACCACGCGAGTATCGCTGGGTGGCGGTGAAATAAGAGCTAAAGTGGTGATGGCGAGAGACAATGGGCGTCGTGTTGGCGCGAGGATGGGCGGAATCGTGCCGCGCGCTCCAGTCACCGCACGCCGGGCTACAGATCGGGCCCAGCGAAGGCCCGACGTACCCGCAACCCAACGGGATCCGCTCCGAATGCAGGGCATATTCCGATACTCGGCTACAAACGGCGCCATTAGAAAACAGTTCAACAGCGACTGCTGCACGATGTGTGCGCCCAGCCAATGTGCGCGTTGGGAAACAGCGTTCGCGGCGGATTTGGAGCTGTGGAACGGCGGGCTGAGCCCAACTTTGAACTAGGTCGTTCGTGTCGCCGTAAAACACACCGGGGCGTGCGTAGTTACGCCCGCGCTGTCGGTGTTGGGCCATTCAAACACTAGATGGCGCCAGGACCTCGTCCCCCGAGCAGGGGCATCTCCTGTCATGACAGGCACAATGGAGCTGCGAGCGGGGTCATTTCTCATCCGTTTGTTTTCGTCTGGGCGATATAGATCAACGCCGGGTGAACGCCCAGGAACACAAGGCGTCCCTCCTCCGTAAACGAAGCCCTCGCGGCGTGACAGACGTGCTGACGCTCGGGCAGGACAGTTTGAGGTCGCCGGTGCCGAGCTCTGGCGGCTTGCTAGCCGAGCAAGCGGTGTTGAAGGCGAAGCCATGGGCAAAGGAACGCCTCAGTGGGTCGAATGACAATGTTGTCAGTTTTTTAATGCACGGGCACAGTGCTTAACCTAAATATCCTTCAACTGTGAGGCGCCACGTCCCCCTGGCCGCCTGTTTCCACGCCATATCGGTACAGCGCTGGACAGCGTTCTGTGAGACAGTGAAAGTTAAATCGATTCACCAGCTTCATTTGCGTGCATACATAATGGTTTAGGTGTACCACAACACCCGAATCAATTCGCTCCACTTCACTTGGTACTTCACTCATTGACTTGAGTGAGTGAAGTGAGCGAACTAACGCTGTCAATACATGCGACAATCGAATCTGATTTGACGTCTGATTTCTTTGTTCGCTACCTCGGTGTGAATGAAATCTGTAAATTTCATACAATCAAACTGTTCGTTATCGGCTCAACGAAATTGTTTTGGTGCTTTGGCCATGCGAATGCCCGCGAAACTTAGTCGTTTTGTTGACCACCATGTAATATTGTCCATTCATTTCAATATTCTTTGAACACAGACTACTAAATATCAAAAGCTTACGATCGATGCCCCGGGATACCAATTTATCCATTAGCACGCGCCAGGGTGGGCGTCAGTTTAACTCCTGAAGGTTTGTAAATGGTACTTTTCGAAAGGCCTGGTGTATCCGCGCCAAAATATGCATAGCTGTAGGAAACTGAATAATGCATGGTTTGATTTAAGAAATCAGATATGCCTTGTAAGGTCAATGACCTATGGCAGTTAGGGTGTCACCGAATGTAATTTCTAGAGAATAATTTAACCTGATGCGGCAACGGAGTGTACACGCAGCCATATATCTCTGAAATGTTTGCTTAAGCAATACGACGGTTGAATTTAGGAGCATAACCAATTTAATTGACATTTGTTCAGACATAGGTCGAAACCAACCTGATTTTTTACTCGAGAGCGCTTGTATGGGGTTCCGTACGTCTGTGGATTCTGGTGCTCATCTGAGTTTATTGATAACAGGTACTGCAAGAGACATCTTCCATAAACTTCTTAAAGGTGGCACAAAAGCAAACTCCACAGGAATCTCGTAGACCTGTGGTTACCATGACCTTCTAAAGGCCAAGTTAGGTCACGGTCTTAAATTATCATCAATGACCTTTAGCTTAGAACAGTTATCTAGGTTCAAGGTGATGGTGTGAGTAGGTCCGGAGGTACTTTGGACATATGATATTATTTTTTGGCATGTATTAGGCAGCAAACCTAAACCGACAGATGCCTTTTGTAACATGGCTTAGGCCCTGCGCCCTGATTGTGTAGAGTTATTGCTCGATACAGTAAATTTCGTAACGAGAAAGTCGACGTGCTGAGAATCATTGCATTTAGACGCTGAAATATACAGGGAGATCACTCAGTACGTCTCATACGTCCCACGTTTGCTTTAATAGAGCAGTGAGGTTAAAGCGATTTGCCAGCAGAGCCATGAACTCTTGGAATTTGAGGGTGACTTTAACAATGGTAGAAAAATGCAAATCAGGAAGAGTTCTAGCGTCAGCGTCAGAAACAGATGCCTTTAGAGCTCCGCTTTCATTTGGATTAAATATGCCGAAGACGCGGCATCCCTTATCAGGGCTGATCCCGTGGAGCTGTTCGAGGGAACTCCACACAAAATCCGTGCCGAGGCGCGTGGCGCCGCTCCGAGCTCCCTTAGACGTGTTGCCCTCGGGGGAGATCAACTAGAAATCGCCGCACAGTCGCTTGGCAACATCAAAATGCTTGCGGTGCTGTTTCGTAGATTTCAGTTCATGATTGTGGCACGTTACGTGTCATGCAGAAATTGTGGCATCAAATATTTAAGGAGGCTTGGGAGATGATAACGATGATATTTGGGTTTTCGGACGCGTCAACTATAGCGGTCATTTTGCGTAGCCTGGGAGAGAAAATGAACAAGCTACAGACGGCAAGGGGGAGGAGGAGGGAGCATACAAACAGGGATGTAATGACAGAGTGGTTAGCACCTTCAGCTCCCACGTGGGCACCACGTCCGTTCGGTTCGTCCGGGTTCGTCCGTTTGCCGGACTCCGCTCGCACCATGACTACTGAGCGTTAGCATGCTCTCTGCAGTTGCTGACGTCGCATCAAATGCTGTGCGACGAACGTTTTCTTCTTTGCAAAAAAATGTACACTCAAAGTCACAAACACAGATATATGTTCAAACACTAATTCGATGCAACAGCCTCGACGGGGCGATATACCAAAGCCGCGTAGAGCCATGATGGGTGCAAGTTTAGCATTGCCCACTAAGTAGGTCGACCGACAGTCCTGCTTTTCAGCCGTGGACTGATCAGGGCAGAGTGGCGGTGCGGCACCGCTTGTACTTCAAAGGAGCCCTTGGCAAGGCCAATCACGGATTAGTTGAGCTACCGAGCACAGTCTGCCATAATTGGCGAGTTGGAGGAGCTTTACGGGAGTAAATCCTCTTTTGGATCGTAGCATCGCTGAACTGCTCTCCTCCGTGACTTGGATGCAGTTTCACAGCACACACCTGCAGCACAGCCTTCGCCAAGGCCGTATGCAAGGCCCCCATTTACCAGCCCCAGAGCCGGTGAATACTCCGTGATGATGTGCTCCGAAACATCTGCACAGCCGTCAGCCGTGCATGCAGCGCTTCACTGGAAGTGGCAAACTGTTCGCTTTTCCCAAAGGTCATCCGCTGGATTGACGCTGCGGTATGGGATCCGCGGCCACCAGGCCGTGGCATTTCAGGCCGCATCCGCCTCCCCTATCCGTCCGTGTTATGGAGTACGGCGAATCGAGACGAGGGTTAAGTTCAGAGTGAAGAGAAGCGGAGGATCATGGGATGGATGTAAGGCATGCAGAGTCGGCTTATGCCGCCCAGGTTGCACTGCAAAGAGCACGTCCAAAGCCGGTCAAAGCTTGGGTGAAAAAGCGGTCATCCTATTCTAATGGGCCCATCGGTGCCCATGAGAGTCCGCCATTATCCGTCACCAGCGCCAGAGGGTAGAGTTCCGTCTCTCGCGCACTGCAGGTGACCGACCTGGGGCTCTGAAGAGGCGACCACGTTCCCATACAGGGTCTGCTCTGAGACGATGTCCTGCCCAGCTGTTACACCCGCACCTTCGGGCTGCTCGGTCGAGCCTCCGGTCTGAAACGGGCCGGTGTGACGTCAGAGGACCACTGTCCTCTAGATACAGCCTCTGTGCCGTGTTGGGATAAACGAACAAAGCGAGTACACAACCATAGCCATTCGCTGTCAGCCAGACAAGTGGGCATTCGTGGCCGCTGGGAGGCACACGAATGATCGGGACTTAGGACCAACGAAAAGGAAAATTGCAAACGAACGGATGAACAGTAGGACAGAATCTAACGGATACCAGGGTGAGCCCACATGGACAGAATCGAATGGACACACTGATGGACTCGGACTTAGAGACGAACAACTGTGCAACGAAAACGTGTCTGTCTTTATACAATTGTGCAGTGAAAACGTCTGCGTGCAGCACCAGTGTGAAATTGGAGAACTAATTACAGCGATGCAAATTTTGAAAGATGGGTGGGCCCCATTGGAATCGATTCCGGCTGCTGGCATACATCGTGGTTACTCGATATTGAAACTGGCTAAAAAGTATACAACACTTTTCGTGAGTCAGAGGCACAAAACTGCACGTATTATACACCAATAGAACGCTGGTCGGCGATTTAACAGAAGTCAAAGCCGGGCTGGAAGCTGAGACGGGAGACGAGGTAGGAGCAGATGCGGCTGAGCCGACGTCGGGTACGGACCGGCTGCGTGGGCCAGCCACGTGCATACACGTGCCTTGTCGCTGTCACTCTCCAGCTCCAAGATGCGGAACTCCATCAGCTCGTTCTGGTCTCGCAGCTCCTGCAGCTCGTTCCTGGCGCTGGCCTCGGCCGCTCGCAGCTGCCGCAGCCGCCGCGAGAGCCACAGGTTTTGCTCGGTGAGCAGGCTCTTCTCGTGTAGGGTCGTCGGCTGGACACCGCGTCGCAGCAGCGCCGCTTCCAGGTCCCGCACCAGCGTCTGCCGACCGACACATCCGGCTATAGGTGGCAGCACTGGACGAGGGATACGGGGCCGTGCTGCTGCTCCGGAGGTCCAACGTTCTTGCATGATGCGAGTAGAAAGAAGCGTCATGGCCATCGCTACAACACAAATCACACGACAACCTAAAAGGTAGCCAACAGGGCATCTCCAGCCCACAGCTTTACAGCTCCGGCTGCCAGCGGGGTCGCACGTCGAGTCAGTCTTGGTGTCAACCAAATCGGAACTCTAGCGGGAAGCCCTGGACAGTCGCGCTTTTTACGGATTTATACATTTTCAGCTCCTAATCGTCAACCATACAGCATCTGTAATAAGTAGCGCAAATCCTGAAAATTATGATGCAGTATTTATCAGCACCGGCGCTTCATTGCAGACTGCTTGGTCAAACGGCGTATTTTTGCAACCTAACTCTATTGTCAATATTAGACATTCCCATTTGATTGACACGGAAAACGAAACGCTTTCGAGATGTGAAAAAGCTAGAGGATGAGAGTAATGAATAGTTCCAAAACTAGGCAACCAGGAATAGTGGTGACCGGAGCCAGGGCACAGGCAGAGTCTTAATAAATTGGGGGGGGGGGGGGGCACAGGGTTGACGAAGGTCACCTTGCGGGTGAAGGACTCTCTTAAACAACCACTGGATGTGGCCCACTTGATTTTGAGGGACCCGAAAATTATTTCGTTTGCATTGTTTAACTCAAACAGAAGCCACAAGTCAACGGAGCATGCAATTGTGTTTGTATCATAAAAGCAATAGATTAATGTAACCAGGTGTCAAATCACTGCGTGGAATAAACTGCCGGCACCATTCATTTTACATTGACGCAGTGAAATAATCTTAAACGACAATACTCGGATGCTTTGCTGGAATATTTCTGTTTTGACGGAGGTAATGAGGGCACTATGAACGTACGTTGTTGTCCAAATGTGGTCGAAATTATATATTAACTTGCCCAATCTATGATTGTCTGGCAATATTCAACGTTCTTCAGAATTTGGCAGAAAATAAGACTAAAATATAATTATGCACACACCCGCTTGCTGAAATAAAAACCCCGGCGCCCGGCGCTGCGACCGAAGGCCGGGCAGCATCGGCCCCGCGGCCTACAATGGGCGGCCGCCCGCAGGCAGACAAAAACGATGGTGCATCTGGAGGAAGTGCCTTCGAACGCTTTAGGGCGTCAATTAGCATGTTTAAAAGGCCATTCGTGCGCATGTTTCACCCGTGTTATTTTTACATTGGCAATGCGGCCGGATTAGTATTTTCAGCATCGCGAATTGGTGTTGGAATCTAGTGGTGGAACTGAAAAAGCAAAGGTAAAACCCTTTTCCGTGTCGCAGCAGCTGTTATTCTGTTAATTGGACATCCCTCAAACCAATCAGGCGGAATATTCACTCCATTCTTATCTCTGAGCGGCACGAATAGATGTCTAACGACTTTCGAAAGTATTTTACACGACGGTCGTTCACGCGCGCCAGGAGCCCGCCACCGGGTGTTAGCTGGAGCGGCCAACGTCATTCTGTTTGACGGACACTGCGGCTCTGGCTCTGGCCATCAGTGAAGACTCCTTACGTTTTCCGGGAAAGGTCTCTCGGGTAGAACATTATTCTTTCCGGAAGGGGCTGAAGGACCAGTCCGCCCCAGCGCGAGGTGTCTACGGGCTACCCTTCTGGCGACACGGAGAGGGGTAACCTGGCCATCCGGAGGTCTTGAGAGGGACACATCACACATGGCTCCCTCCCTGACGCGAGAGGCCCTCTGACCTGGAAAGTTGTCCTTGAATCGACGCAGGGCCCTCGTTGATACAAAATGATCCCTTATTGCTGAAGGGGTCCAATAACTGATGAAGAGACTTACCGGGTCCGCCTTAACTAGCCCCTGGCTGAAATTGGAGCGGAGGGCCCTTATTTGGTAATGGGGCTCCTGATCGTCACAGGAGCCTTTCCATTGTCTCATCGAGGACTCACATTATACATTTTCCTCCATCTTCTCATTTTCAGAGGACCCGACCAACACGAAAGGCCCTCTTGGATTTGCGTGTCCCGTCTGTGTCCCTGTTCAGCAAGTGTTTCACTGGCCGACTCGGATCATTTGCAGGCACAGGACCCCTGTGATACACTGTGGGCCTCTCATTGTTTCAGCGGCCCGATCAATGCAACTATCCAGCCCCGGCCGTGTCTCTGTTTGGGAAATGGGCCCACGGGTCTGAGACCGACGCAGCCGTCAGTTCGGTGCTGGTGGTGCCTGACTGACATGCAGACCCGCATCGATGCAGGGTGCTTTCGATCAGTGCAAAGGGACCTTTGGCTGGCATTTGAGGGCTCGGCCCGTGGGCATACGACCTCTGCCCAGCCTTGGGGCACTTTGAGCCATCAAATTGGGCTCTTAATCTTCGGTTCCGTAGTTTCCGCCCCTTGGAACCTACGGGAGGCCCCTTGGTACCTTCCTGCGCCCTTCTCCTGCCCTCGCCGCTGGACCGGAGTCCGACCAGTAGTGACGTGAAAAACAAACAAACGTACCAGCAGGTGTGGGTCCATCTGTGCACCCCAACATACGCTGTTGTCTGCAACCCACGGATCCGCCCAGTTTGGGGCGTTTTTAAGAGCTGATGTCGGATCTCAGCATCCAGAGATGGTGACGTGACAACGGTCGCACGGGGCGCGCAAATGTACCGGCTACAACTCACTTAACATCTCAAAACTGTCCGACCGTCAGGTGTACCAACAGCATACCTTAAAGCGGTCAATAGCACTTTGAAACTCCTCTCGAATGCATGAAGCTGTGGCTTGAACCGAAAGACTGGTCCATGAAAATGATGCAGTCGTTTGCCGCTGTTCCATGCGACCACTACCCATTTAAAACAGTTGCGTTTTCTATTGCACTTCCATCATAATTACCGAAACTCATTGCAGAGTTATAGACGTCGTCAATTAAAATTTTTAACTTGAAGAGACTAATGTTCTCCCTTCCCCGACATCTGCCGCTCACCACTGACCTGCGAGGTCAGCAGCTCCCCTCCCCGACAGCCGCCGCTCTCCACTGACCTGCGAGGCCAGCAGCTCCCCTCCCCGACAGCCGCCATTCTCCACAGACCTGCGAGGTCAGCAGCTCTCATCCCCGACAGCCGCCACTCTCCACTGACCTGCGAGGTCAGCAGCTCTCCCTCCCGACAGCCGCCGCTCACCACTGACCTGCGAGGTCAGCAGCTCCCTTCCCCGACAGCCGCTGCTCTCCACTGACCTGCGAGGTCAGCAGCTCTCCCTCCCGACAGCCGCCGCTCACCACTGACCTGCGAGGTCAGCAGCTCTCCTCCCCGACAGCCGCCGCTCTCCACTGACCTGCGAGGTCAGCAGCTCCCCTCCCCGACAGTCACCACTCTCCACTGACCTGCGAGGTCAGCAGCTCCCCTCCCCGACAGCCGCCGCTCTCCACTGACCTGCGAGGTCAGCAGCTCCCCTCCCCGACAGCCGCCACCCTCCACTGACCTGCGAGGCCAGCAGCTCGTCCTCGAGCTCGGCTCGGCTGGCCCGTCTGGGCTGCGCCTGCATCAGCTCGTGAGCCCGCATCAGCTGCCGGTGCGTCCTCTGCATCTGGCAGCACAGCTGCTCCAGCTCCCCACGGTCCAGCTGCCGAAGAGCAGAACACGCGAGTGTGTGGTCAGATATACCGACGGAGTCTGGGTTTGGAACTTGGCAGGAGGTTCAGGGTGTCAGAATCTTGTTCACAGCAGCAACGGAATTTGTCAAATGTTGTGATGATCCTTTTTTATTGTTCATCAGCTAACAGTCATAGGCCCAATGGTAGCGCATAGCTGTCACCACTACTTCCTTATTCCCATTCCCTGGGTCTAGGTGGAGAAATGACTCAAGGCCTACGACGTTTACCATACATTTTACCCCACGAAATGACTCACAGGTGTTTTGACGATTCGTCTTCTACGATTGCACGGTACGTTGACTCGTTCAGTGTTGGATCAGTGTCGCACTCACTTGCTCGAGCTCAGATAATAACAGCTGGCGCATTGCATAATTGGGGAGATTTGTTTAATCGCTTTAAGAAATGGATGGGCTGGAGCTGTGCCCCAGTCATGGTGCCCACTTCATAAGCATGGTAATGGTCAATGGTCACCAAGAAGGCGAAAAAGCTTTTCTGATATCTCGTGACTTTCAGATAATTGATCGGTAATCTGATAACCCGCCCTCTACCCCATCCTCCTAAGACTCGACGTCGAATCTGTTTGTGACGGCAATATCATGCACTTGGCAATATAATGTTAAAATAATGCATGTCGTCGGGGAACGACGCGGCTGTTACATGGACAGGTTGTTTCATCGATAATCCATTTCTCAATAAACCGCGGCCGCAAGCCGGGAGCTATATCGATGATCTACGGCCTCTCACGCCCAGCCACCCACAGCAGCGCACAAGCCGAAACGACGGCACCGACTTCGTCCCCGGCTCGCGCCGTCCTCGGCTGACGTTGGACCTGATGTTGCCACGGTGAAGCTGACGTCGTCCCCAGCGAGGTACGGCACGAGCCGGGGATGAAGTCAGGTTCAGCTGTCAGCGAGAGACGGCACAAGCCGGGGATGAAGTCAGGTCCAGCTGTTAGTGAGAGACGGCACGAGCCGAGGATGAAGTCAGGTCCTGCTGTCACCGAGGGACGCTGACAGCAGGACATGGAGGGTAGGACAGCTGGATAGCTGGACCTGGACAGGTGAAGAGTACGGTACTAATACGCGCTGTGCTGCCAGTATGGCGCGCCTGCGGCCGATCACATCAGGCTCGCCTTGAACCCTGGGCTGGGGTTTAAGAACTTGTCACAGCCTGTGATTTACAGCCTGACACGGGGCTGGCGAGAAGTGTGCTGCAACTATATCAGTCTGGGGAAATTAGTTATTAAGTTTCAGATGACAGTTTGGGCTATTGGCTAAAAACTCCTCATGTGGCAATTCACGCACCTTCAGCGCCATGCCAAATAGATCGATAAAAACTTTGACATTCATCTCGAATTACCATGTAAAATGCGCATAAGCTCACGACTAGAGTGCTTCAAGGGTTGGGCTTGCCCACGAATACCCACATGGAATGGTAACGGGCTGTGTTGGGTACATCTCTTGGGGAAATCATGGGTATATGCAAGGGTATAGGTAAGATGTAGACGGAATTTCGGGTACATCCTTCAAGAAATATAACACGATGTTCACATTTACGCTTCCTCTATTCACAATGAGCTTCTTTCCCACAACTGCTACAGTTCGTAGCGGAAATGAGCAATTTGAGCTTTGAGTTCCCTGAAACCTTTCCGCACTCCATAGCTTAAGTGCTCGAAAAACACAACCGGCTGGGCCGCCGGTTGGTGTAACTAATTCCAAATGGGTAGCAAGTACGTGTAGGGGCAGTCCCATGGGTAACGGATGGATCGGGTAAATGAGACCTCGCCCTTGAAGACCTCTGACGATGGCATAACCTCTGAGCACAGATAAGTCATCTAACTGCAAATCCGAGCATATGTGAGGAGGCGGAAGTCACCTACCTCAGCCAGGTCCGACGGTCGCAGATCGGTGACGTCAGCGTCCTCGTCATCCAGCGAGTGCCACCAGCGTACCTCCCCGCTGCACGAGGGCAGGTCCTCCTCCAGTGGGTACTGGCAAAACTCCTCCCTTGCGACGGGAAACTCCTCATCCAGCAGACAGTCCTGGCGGTACTCTCCCTCTCGCAGTGGCGGCGACTCTACGTCCAGCGCGTCCTCGTATCGTTCTCCTTCTCTCAATGTCGGCAGCTCGCACATCTGTCGGGGCGAAACCGTCGCACTGCGTCACGCCGGCCGGGCAGCTTACACTGCGTTCGTACGTGCGCACGGTGTGAGACAACATCTAGCCTGCTTGTGGTATTATACAACTCTTGCTCGCACCACACTCATTTGTGGCACGCTTGAGTTTGCTGCGGATACCGCAGATAATTTGTCGCAGCGACAATGGACGGTGTAGTTCCTTGGCCAAAGATGGAAAGACTCCATCAACTAGCTCTCGACCCACCAGCGTTTTTTTCTCGTCTTCGCCCAACGGGTGGGTGGGGCAGGAAGGTCCCCAATATTTGAAAACCTCGCGAACTGGAGCCAGGGAATGAGGACAATGCTGAGCCCCCTTCAAACTGCGTCGGCCAAGTATGACGAAAAAAATCGTGAACTAGGGCATTCACACACCCAGTCAGGTCAAATTAACGCTTAAGAGACCGCTCCTATTATCGCGGGAATTAAGCATGCTTTGACATCCTAAAAGTCGCTTCATATACCTTTTGAAAACAGCTATATCAGATAGGTGTTTGTGCACATTGATATGTGTGACCTGTGATATATCACGTCAGGTTGAAAGGTTGAGGGCTGATGTTGGATCTGACTCGTGGTGTCGACATGCGCGGTCCATGAAGGACTGAACAAGTAAAGTCAGTGGGGGACAACAACCCTAGAAAGACCTTACAAAGTTGTAAGAAATGAATCATGACGGTGTAAATCGGGTGACTTTCAAAAGGTTAAATCTGGTCATGAATATAAAGGTGTGAGCTGGCTTTACACTGGATGACTCGACACTGCAAAACCAGCAAAAACGATAGTAATGCATTTCAGAGTGATATAGCGGAGAAAGACAGAAAAAAATCTTTTTGGGGTGCATTTCCTACGAGAAATGAGCGTTGTCTGTTGCCGTTGAACACATCACCTTTCAAACCTTTATAACCTTTCAAAAATGGTTATAACCCATGGACAATCAAGGTCCAGAAACTTAAAGCCCTAGTTGGGTGTAAAAATGATGCAAACGCAGGTAGTCCAAAATTTCAGCACCGCGCTCAAAACCGTCGAGATATCATTCCAGAAAAATCCTACGGGATCCTGTGACGGGTCCGTCGTTAGCGAGAATCACAGCGCCTACTGATGTCTTTTCAAGTAACGAATATGATACGAGGTCAGAGTATTTCTTGAGGGCTGTGTCGGAAGCGCTGTTTGAGACCAGACATCTCACAGTGCCGGCCCCAATGAGCTCGGTCAGGGACCGGGCAGCTCGTGGTGTCGGCCCTGGTGAGCTCGGTCAGGGACCAGACATCTCACAGTGCCGGCCCCGATGGGCTCGGTCAGGGACCGGGCAGCTCGTGGTGCCGGCCCCGGTGAGCTCAGTCAGGGACCGGGCAGCTCGTGTTGTCGGCCTTGGTGAGTGCGAGGAAAGACCGCACTGCTCGTACTGCCGAACGCGGTGAGCTCGGTCAGGGACTGGGCAGCTCGTGGTGTCGGCCATGGTGAGTTCGAAGAAAGATGGCACTGCTCGTAATGCCGAACGCGGTGAGCTCGGTCAGGGACTGGGCAGCTCGTAGTATCGGTCGCGGTGAGCTCGGAGAGAGAGCGGGAATTTATTCAGGGATGAACTTGACTGCAATGAAGGCGGAAGCCTAAAATGCACCTGAGTTGACAGCCATGCGCGGACAGCAGGAAAACGAACACGGCGGGAAACGCGGTCAAGATACCCTTTGGCGTGCAAAACGAGGCCACTGAGATCCGACATGTTTAAGAATATTCGTCAAGGAAAGGTCAGCTTTTCATGTAAAGGAGCGATGGAGGGTCGAACGAATGATACGAAAAGTGGTGATAATAAGCCATGTCACCTCTGACGTTCCAGCTGTGCATTGTTCTTAAAACGGTTGGCCTGCGGCTTCGGAAAGTTATACAGTTACAGCTAATGTAAGGTATCACCGCATGCTTCGTGCCACTGTAGGCTGCAACGCGAGAGACGTCACAAAACTGACCGAAAATGAAGCAAAATAAAAACTGTGTGCTTATTTCCATAAAACTGCAAATGACCCCTTACGCACTGACGCAACATTGTACGGACCATGGAGTGGGTTGGATTTTTGCGCGGGCCTATCTGGTGTTTTTATCGGGTTTATCTGGTGTTCGCGGGCCTATTCTGGATGTATCAGATATTTCCAAAGTGGGCGAATGCGTCATGAACGTCTATGATGGATACAAAGTCACTTTTGAGGCCGGTGAAGACGAGTGACCGACTGATGTCGCAGGCAGGCGGTATTGTGCGGTCGACTGGTGCTCTAGGCATATTAACGCGTGGAATCGGCCAGTATGTGTCATGACCTTACTTGAACGATGCACAACATATCTGTAGTTATGAGGATCAATGATCTGCGAGAAGCACCAATTTAAACTGGACTATACATCCCTCATCACCAGATACTCTTCAACGAAATAATGAGGTGCATTGGGCAAGAAAATGCAATCATCAGCGTTTTGACCCCTCCCCCTTTAAGCTTGGTTTCAATGCTCGACGTTTCAGCGGAAACATTTAGTTGGTAAGATCAAGGTCCCAACTCTTCACAAGCCCGCTTGGTGCTTTTGGTGTTTCATTCCAGGTTTAAAGTACCACTCATGCTTTATTTGTCAGTTTGTTCTTGTGCTGCCCCTCATTAACATGTAAGCTTTGCGTTCAAAGAATTCTAAGCTGTGGAAAGAGCTCGAGAGCCAGGTATACCGTAGCAGTAAACTAAGTCGTATAATACGGAAATAATTTGAGCGAAACCCACCGGTGCCCAGGGGCGGCTCTCCACGCATTTGGCCCCCTCTCCTACTACAGATCTCAGCACGCCAGCTGGCTCACATCAAACGAAAGAAACTCAGGGTCGCAGGAAAGTCAGTGAGGACGAAAGAAGCCAGGGCCTGCAAGGATGGTGTGGTTACAGTACTTAGGACCACATCGAAGTGCAACCACCGCTGCTGCCCTCTCGGCGGCCGACAGCCAGATGCGAACCGCCGCTCTCTGGCCGCCTAATCGCAGCGGATGCTGTGATTGCCCCGAGAGAGCGCCAGGACAGTGGCGACCGTTCCCTGGTCCGCTCGCCAGCACACAAGACCAAAGACGACCGCCGCACCGTCCGCTGGTCGCCGCTGACAGTGACCGAGAGCGCCTGACAATGGGCGGCTCGCCAGGGAGCTTTCTATGACCGCTCCGAGAAGATAAGTCACACCTCAACAGCTGCTTTTATGACCCGCTGACAGTTCAGGTCACCTGCGCGATGTCCGACGTGACCTCACTCGACACGGAGGGAACAGAGCATCGCTCTGGAGAGAGAGAGGGGGGAAGAGAGAGAGGGAGGGAGAGAGAGAGAGAGGGAAAGAAAGAGAGAGAGAGGGGAGAAAGAGGGAGAGGGAGGAGAGAGAGAGAGGGAAAGGGAGGGAGAGAGAGAGAGGAGAGAGAGAGAGGAGAGAGAGAGAGAGAGAGAGAGAGAGAGAGAGAGAGAGAGGAGAGAGAGAGAGAGAGAGAGAGAGAGAGAAGAGAGGAGAGAGAGAGAGAGAGAGAGAGAGAGAGAGAGAGAGAGAGAGAGAGAGAGACGGGGAGGGAGAGAGAGGGAGATACGGTGCATTAAAAAACACGGCTTCGGCTATCAACTCACATGGCACGCATTACACGTACGCACAGAGCAGTCTTTAAATTTGCATTAAACGTATTCACGGATGCCGTGGTAAGTGTGGTGGAAGGTCTACCTTTCAACTAGTTGCAATGACATTCATGTTTATGGTGGTTGCGATATATGGTGCGCCGGTTTTTTGCAGCCTTGTGCCACAGAAAAATGCCTGCAGCGTGTCACCATTTCAGGTATTTTTCCCCGCCATTGCCTGTCTTGTTGGTGGGAGTGGAGCCTCTGTGCCCGGGAGGTCTCAGGATTCCCTGTCCAAGCCGTAAACACATCTTCCCCTGCCCGCCTGCAAGCGTTTCCATTTTCAGCGTTTGTACTGGCTGATTGACGATTTTGAGTGCCCGCTTCTGCACTCGCTCAATTTGTTGGGCTTGGTGGCCGGTGAGCCTGGGATGAAAAACAATTCCAGAATATTCAAGCAATGATCGAGAATACGTGATGCAAATTGTAGCCAGTTGGTCTTGTGACGGACGGGGTTTCTTCATTACGTGAAGTATACATAAAGTCTTAGAACCCTTCTTGACAGGTTCAGCTACATGTACCTGCCAATATATATCGCTAAATAATGTTACTCTCAAAAGCTTAGCACTGCTCACCGTTGGTAAGCCCCTCCCATTTGTTAAGACGTCCGGAGTAGCAGGGGTTTCTAGGCAGTACAGACTTGCATGACCTGACATTTTTCAGTGTCAAGTGTCATCCTGTTTGCAGCCGCCCACCCACATATTTCTTCAGTCTTGTCTTGCATCTGACTATGGCCCTCTATTCGGTCAACTGGACATGCTTCGTATATTTTGAGATCATCTATATATCCTAAATGATGTTCTATCGCAAATGTGGTTCCGTTGATCATATACCTAAGAAAGCGACCGGTCCAGTCAGGGTTCCCTGCCGGGTGCCGGAAGTTATTAATTTCCAACCACCAATCGTTACATTCGGTGTCTTTATCCTCCGCTTTCTGTCCTGGAGAAATGAAGCGAACCACTTTGCATAGCCAGAGTGAAGAAACATGCCGAGCATATTCTGTATTGCCGTTGTATGGCTAATGAGGTCAAATCCCTTCTTGAAATCATACAGAACTACAGAAAAGAGCTTGCCTGGGTTATCCAGCTCATAGGGTAAACCGTGCAGCACTCTTATCAAGAAGTGGAACGTTGAGGTGCCCTTTACGTTATCGCACCGGTGTTTATCTATTTGCGGGCTTATGCCCCCTAGAATAAGCGTGGCAACGAACTGTTCCGAAAGTTGTGCCAAACGTAGGTGTAAGGCCACAGGCCGCAGGTCTACTGACGTCTGGGTGTTCCTTTTTTAGCAGCCGGGAGGATGGTTGCCCTCTTCCAGACCTATATGGGACCTGGCCCCCCTCAAGTAGTCGAGAAAATATATGGGCGAGAGGCGGTGCCAATTAAACAAAAACTCCTTATTCAGATTTACTGGTAGCTCACCAGCGGACGCAGCTTTGTTCTGTCGGACGTGTGATAGCTTAAAGGCTACTGGGGCCTCGCCACCCAGAAGCACACCAGCCGTAGCGAACGGCGGGGTCTGTCGGGCACGCCCCCTGTCGGGCACGCCAGCCGAGGTCGGCATGGCGGCTGCTACCGGCCTACACGAGTCCTGCATGTCATGTGTCCTGTAGCAGGTCAGCCGTCAGGACCAGCGCCCCACATCGCTGACCGACAGCAGGACTAGACACCTGGCGGGCACGCCAGCCAAGGTCGATCCAGCTGACCTACAGCAGGACGAGACACCTGGTGGGCACGCCAGCCGAGGTCGATCCAGCTGACCTACAGCAGGACCAGATACCTGACGGGCACGCCAGCCGAGGTCGATCCAGCTGACCTACAGCAGGACCAGACACCTGACGGGCACGCCAGCCGAGATCGATCCAGCTGACCTACAGCAGGACCAGACACCTGGCGGGCACGCCAGCCGAGGTCGATCCGGCTGACCTCAGCAGGACCAGATACCTGACGGGCACGCCAGCCGAGGTCGATCCGGCTGACCTTCAGCAGGACCAGACACCTGACGGGCACGCCAGCCGATGTCGATCCGGCTGACCGACAGCAGGGCTAGACACTCGGGCCGCCAGCCGAGTCGATCAGGACCAGAGACGACACTGTGGCACGCCAGCCGAGGTCGATCCGGCGACCTACGCGGCCAGAACCTGGCGGGCACGCAGCGAGTCGATCGCTGACCTACAGCAGGACAGACACCTGCGGCCCCAGCCAGTCGTCCGCCGACCTACAGCAGGCCAGCACCTGAGACGCCACCGAGTCGATCCGGCTGCCTACAGGGCCGACCGGGACGCCAGCCCGGGTCGCCAGCTCTATCCGGGGACCTACAGCTGACCGCCGGAACCCAGAGTCGATCCACAGCCACCTGACGGGCACCCCAGCCGGGGTCGATATGACGGCTGCCACCGGTCTACACGAGTCCTGCATGTCATGTGCACTGCAGCAGGTCTCACGGAAAGCAGCCTCGACCGCGTCGTGAAACGCCCGCTGCCCTTCACAGCTGGGAATGCAATCACGGTAAGCGCTGTGGCGTGATGGGACGCTCGTGAATCGTTAAAGCGATTATTTATTGGAGCCGACTGCTGCCCGCCGACCGCCGTCTGCCGCGGACTTCAGCCGAAGGTTTTGTACTGCGATATGCAGCCTATAGCGTGCAGTCTGCAGCATTTTACGTGTCTTAGATAGTAACGTGATTTAATTGTTTGGCTCAAGGGCGTCACTTGATGCACTTTTGGGTTGTGAGGATGGAGGGGGCGGGGGGACTGAGCCTCATCAGCGCACGTGAATAGTTGTATTTGAATGTTGAATAGGCCTTTGCGGAAAAATCGTGTCCGGTGGTAGGCCGTGACTATCCGCTCTCAGGGAAAAGGAGGGGTACTTCAACACGCATACGTTTTCACGACTGGGGGCCAGAAGAAATACACAACGCTCTCCCCGTTTTTGACATAAGGACTGCTTTCTTAGTAGCCATGGTTTATGTGGGATTGTAATCCAGTACGATTGGGGCGGCCATCATTAAAAAGTCTGAACACGTGCCGCAATGCTCGGCGCGCAGATCATCCAACCCTCTGACGTTACCTGGCCAATAGCGTGGCCGCTATCACCTACCGCAGGCTATCCCAATCGGAGGCAAATAACGAACGCATAACGCGACTCGAACCCATCTTACTACAGATTTGTGAATTCGAAAGCAGGCGCTGTAACCATCTGAGCTCTCAGGACTAACTTCAGTACACTGTGGCGTGGCACGATGTAAACTACATTTCGGTGGCTTATCTTTCATAGGGTTGTAACACAAAACGTGTTGTGGTGGAATTGAAGTAACGCATTTTGCGCGGTGTGTTCCGGAGTGAAAGAAGTATTGGTATGGTGATGATCGCATTTTGCGAAGAATTTTGACAATGAGCGCAGCTTCCAAACGTCGAGTTTTCTCTGTAGAGCTAATGCTCTTTGGATCACGTTGTTTGAATCCTACCTTCTGGTGTATTGAAGCTTGATCATTCTCAGCATGAGAACTCCTAAGTCATCGTCCCGAAGCACCAATATGCAGGGTTTTTCCACCTGATATCAACTTCCAACACGTATCAAAGCGTGGGTTACGCTATTTTTTAAGACGACAAATCTGGAGGCTCATCCAGGCAACAGTCTTAAGCGACTCTGTCCTTCAAGCTGCATCGACAAGTCCGTCCAGAAGGTCGCGTAAGTACAGTTTGTGACAGAGGATTCCAAACTTTTTCATTGGCTCTCGTCCGTGCGTGTCAGACCACGTCATCTTGCATAGCACCGTCTTTTTGCGCCGCAGGCCACCTTCAATTAACAATGAACGACACCTTCTTCCGTTGGCCACAAGAGCTTGCCCTATCACGACGTGTTTTCTTTGAATTATGCTCTATCCCAAGCTGTTTACCAAATGCAACCTCCCACCGCCTTGAAATGAAAATTCATTCCTTCGCAGTAAAAAGAGTTTGTAGTCGACGAAGCATTTTAAAACAATGTTTGCTTGAATATTGCGGACGCAAATTAAACAGGCCGGAATTCAGGGATAAATCAGGTACTGAGGGTATGTTAGGTCAACATTATAAAGTCAGCTCCGCTCGCCCCAGCCGATTTCAGAAAGCAACACTTCTGATATGGTCTTATTTTGGCCTGGGTGGCCGGTCTTGGGCTCTAGCAATGTCCTGCATGGTTTCATTGGCAAAACGCCAAGTTATTTCGACATCACAATTTCTGTAAGACTTTTTCTTGTACAACTAGCGTGTGACCGCTTTCCTAGCCCAGCCTTTCCCCACATCATCCAAGCCCACCAGTGACAGAACACGCTACTGTGAACACACGTGTAACGGACTACAACTGAGCACGCCTGAGCGAACAAGGCTGAACAGTCTGCGGCGTGACCTGACGCCGCTCCGCAAGGGTCTAAGGCAGCGACCATCGCCTGACCCCGATCCCGCTGAAGCGGCTCCCCGCCCGAGCCGAGGACAGCGCTCGAGCGCGTACACGGGCTCTGTCCTTCCATCGGAGGCTTCCATGTGGCTTCCTACCACATTGGCTGTCCTGTTGGCTGCAGTGTTATTATTGTCGTCTGGGTTGTGGTTGGATTTGAGGAGGTGGAGCTCTTAATGCGCGGCATATAATATTACTGAAAGACGTGATCACTTATGGCGTTGCTATGCTCTACCTACTCCAGGTTAAAATGAACGTGATAATGACAGCGAACTGGACAGCAGCTGGTGTGTCGCCGCCATATAGTCAGCAATTTTTCTGTTTCGGACAGTGATATGAATATTTTGCGCCGATCTGCATAAACATGTGAAACAGTGTTATAATTGAAATACACAGCCGACATCACGCTACACCTGTTCCGATCCAAAAATCATGCGATGAAGCAGCGCACCGAGAAGCGGCCTGCCGTAGATTTCACTGACTGATATGGCTGAAAAAGGTGATTGGCAGTTACTTTTTCCCAGAAGCTTGACCTTTTTCAGATAAGTGAGACAGACAATCGGATAACGAGGGAGTCAGCAGCATTTCCAGAATTCAGGCGTCGGCCTGCAAAATGTGACCACGACTGCTACCAATAATCAAAGTCAGCCGTGTCCGTGAATAGCAAAAGGATCATTAAAACTAATGGCGTAGTTCAATGCCGACTTTTGGTGCGAGTGCGTAGTACAGTAGTCAATGGCAATGTATCCGGGGGGAGCCGGGGGGGGGGGGGGGGGGGAAGCAGCGGGTAGCAAACTGCCCTTCTTTTTCGAGGCTGAGAAAAGACTATCTTTCCATAATTTCGGGTCGCCCAGAAGGGGTCTTGGATATGCAGAAATAATTCACTTTTCATGTTACCCAAGGAAGCATGGAAAGCGCATTCCTGGTCCGAAAAGATTTTGCATCAGGGTAGGGAAGAAATCGTTTTCAATCCAGAGAGAGTCCGGCATGGGCTGGAAAGGGCTCGTTCCAATGCAGCAAAAAGCCTGTCAGCTTCAGGTATGGGAAGGACCTATTTCTGACCTAGGAAGAGCCCATCACGGACTCGAAGGGGCCACCTCGGGTCAGAAAAGCATGGCGTTAACTGAGAAAGGGCTAGTCTCAGGGCCGGAAAGGGCCCACGGTAGGCTTAGAGAGGGCCCTCTCAGGTCTGGAATGGGTACTTCCTAAACGCAGAAACAGATCGTCTCAAGTCATGCAAGGGTCCGGTTTAGACTGAGTAAGCGAACGCCTCAGTTCCGCAAAAGGCCATCTCGCCTCCCGGGCCTGGGAATGGCCAACCAAGCTGGAGGTAGCGGGATGGCACCGGGCATTACACGACAAAGGCAAGATCCAGTCCCCCCTCCTTCATCCTTCTTCGTTGTACTTCCATGAGCTCTTTAGCCGGCGAATGGCCAACACAAAATAAAACGAACAAAATCGGCCAGTATCTGCGCCTTTTTTTGAACTCTCACTCTTGGCATATTTTTATAGTGCAAAAGAAATACCTATCTTGAATTATAATGTTGCAACACAAATTATCGGAAAGTGCGCGACCCTTCGCATTTGGACAACACCATTATGTAACATTGATAACTCATTCCTGATGTAGTGAATAGTTGTCATGGCATTGTCATCTAGACTTTTCTATTTGCAATTTTTGTCAACATATGAGAAAGGCATTCATACAAAGTTTCATTTATGCAATCAGAATATAATCGCTCAAGCTCATCAAATATGGAGAGCCCAGTCCAAAGGGTACAACTTAACTGAATGATTCACGTCTCCATAGTGCGCTATGGAGGCACAAATAACCTCTCCTTTATCAGTTTTTCACATAAGGAAGACCTTTCCCGAAATACTAAGAACTATGGATGCTCCGGCGACGCAAAAGACGGCGGTGGATAGCTCTTGGAGCACCATACAAGATGGGTAGTAGTGGACATGCACACATTTGGCCTATTATATCATGTGAGGGGTTCTCGCATTAGCCCGTACGACCATAGTAAGAACTAAAGCCACATCAGTGGGGAAAAATAGCGTTAGGTAGGCCTTTGAGAGCAATGAGATGCGTGCCATTGAAATGCGTGACAGTTATGACGTCAGATCTAGTCACAAGACCAATGAATGGCCTGGTATGGATTTACAAGGTGTAACATCGCAAAAACCACCAGGGCGGTAGTAATGCACGAGTGTTACAGGCAAAATGCAATTGATAGAACCTCCTTGGTTTTCTATCTTCAGGCTATATCCTTGGAGCGCATCTCCTGCGAGCAACAAGTAATAAGCAATAATTGTCACAATCTGTCACGATCTGAGCAATCTGTCACGGAAATGACCTCAAGAAAGAGCTGATAACATTAAACGTCATGACTATCACAAGCTTCCAATGTGTTATTATTGCATGTGTGAACATGCCGGTGACGCAGCTTCCCAAGACTTCAGCTTCGCACTCCAACTCGTTCAAAAGCTGTTCCGGGCAGACCTTAGCCCCCTCTAAGCCCGCTCCCATCGTGGGGTTAAGGTTAGGACGCCTGCCACCATTTGTTGCGTCCCACTTTTGCATGTCGTAATATCAACTTATGCGTGAATGCGGCCGTTCTAAACCGCTCGGAGCCGTCAACGCGCCGTCTGAAAACCAAAGGTGCGGAATTCGATTCTCCGCCCTTCCTGCCAGAGTGAGAGGCAGGCGACGCCACATAGCCGTAGCGTGGTTAAGTCCCCATTACAATAACAACCGTTCATAACTATGCTGCACTCCCTGAAGTTACCATCGCCTGCCGTCAAAATACGCGTTACCTCTGGATGGCCACGCGCGCCGCCCTGGCGGCGAGCGGTGTTCAGTCAGCACGTGCGCAGGCACCGCCTACCTTAGCGACGAGCAGGCGGGGCGGGCGGGACTGGTGCGGCGAGCACGGCCGGCCGCTCTCGTCCTGCCGACAGGCGCGGCGTCAGCTGGCGCACGACGACAAACACGGCGGGGCGCGGCGCACGCGGCGCGCCGTACATTACGTCAGCTGGCGCGTCGTCCCGGTCCGTCGCGCGGGTTACACAATAGTGGCGCGCGGCTGGCTCGCCGAGCTCTCACCTCAGGGTTCAGAGCGCCGCCTCGTGCGAACGATCCGGGGCATCCGACCACAGCGCATCACAATGAGCCTCGCCTCACTGCACACGGCGGCGACGCTTCAGCGCTTCAGCACTCGGAGCCGTGCACCGCTGGGAGTGAGGGCGGCACTGCCCACGGAGGCAGCCGGAGCCGCCGCTCCAGCCACATGTCTGTACGAGCGCGGTCCGATGCCGCCGCTTCAGACACACGTCTGTACAGGCGCAGCTCGAAGCTGCCGCTCCAGCCACAGTATGAGGCTACCGCTCCAGCCTCACGTCTGTACGGGCACTGTGGCCAATCGATTGCCGCGCCCCAGTCAGTGTTGTCAATACCTCGCTGCCTAGGAAACGCGCTCCGATATGTGGCAGCCGGCAACATAAGCGTAACGCGCGACCGCTTCTCCCCGCGACTCCGTGTTGTGAGACTTCTTCAAGAGAATGCCGATGCAGTGGTTGGAAATTGCGCTATGCACAGCGTAACCAACGCAATGCAGATTATCGGACTGAGAGAATGTCCGCAAAGTTACGGAAACAAACGTGTACTTTATGAGAGAGTTTCTGTGGGAATCGCTACCTGAAAGCTGCAGCACTGCCACTGCTCCATCCTCAGCCTCAGCTCGAGTATGTCGTCGTCCCCTTCCTCCGACGCCAGCGACGAGCTCCGTTGTATCATCCTGACGTCTCTCAAATGCCGGGTTCTGCAACAGCGAACACGTTTAAGAGCAGCGCTTGAAACAGAACGAAAGAACAAACTGGAGGACATCGCGAGGGAACACCGCATTTTGGGGCCCCATGGTTCGTTGGAGGTCCCATGTAAATGCAGGTGCACGATAAGTTTGTGGCACGGAGCCTGTCGTTTCTCCCTACATACTTCGCTGTTTGGCAGTGAGTTGTGCCGCGAACCAAAGTGGTAGGTGGATCACGCAGTCATCTTTACATAAAGTCACGGTATAAGTGAGATGTTTTACACGAAGGACATCGCTTGTGTACTCGGGTGTTTAACAAGCGCCCACAGCCAGTGATTTCATTACTGAACGCTATCATCACAAGTTCGTAAAAGCCATGGACAGCTCTGTGAGGTCGGGAGTGGTGTGTGAATCCTTTCATCCCCGCTGTGGTGCTCCATGCCATGACACACTTCTGCGGTGGGGCGGCACCTTTGGCCACCTCACCTCAGACTCTCAAGTCAGGGACACCTGTTCCCACGCTATTAAGAATGGAACATCATAGCTGATGGCATCGACCCCATTTAGATCGCTTTGAATGGTTGTTTTAGGTCGACGTTAACACGTAGGAAAGTTACATAAGCTGCTTTATAAGCGAGACCTTCATGTCACCAGAATAGTTCAGGCGGAGACAGCTTATGTCCCTCTGAGGCATGTTCAGCTGTGACCGTTTGGAAAATGAAAACCTTTGATTTTAGTTCGTTTTATTTTGAGAACACAACATTAACATTCTTTACACTGATGGATAAATGTCAAAACGCAAAACACTGGATCGCGATGTATCGAACGAAATTACATTTCAATTGCTGGGTCATGGACATCGATGCGTCTGAACAGCAGCGAAAAGACAGCTGGTACGGCTACGGTCACTAAAACGCTGTAATATCTGACTGCGCATGTATTACACCTCTCCCAGCATGCCGGTCAAAAGAAAATGGAAGGAGTTCAACACAACGTATTGAGCAAATTCAGCATGGATTTTGTGTTGAACTGTGCCCATGTCAATTTCTATAGTGTAAAGTAATTACGCAAGCCCTCCAATGCAGTTTTTTTTTTGTTGTTGGGGCAAAAAAAAACAAATAAATCTGGCAGGGCTGTTGTTCTACCTATGGGGTTCAAAAACCATGGCAGCCGTTTTTAATTGATGCAGCACCTGGTAACGGACGGCGCTGTGAGCACGCGCTACGTGGAGCGGCACCTACCTCTGGATCGTTATTCCAGGGCCCTGGGCAGTACAACAGGCCTGCATAAACCTCACACCAGGCCTCTGTGGGCGCCGTTCCAAGCCTCTGAGAGCGACATGCCGAACATTGGGAGGAGGAATGTCAGGTCTATTTCGACTTCACACCAGGCATTTACCGGCTGTTCCAAGGCCGCTGTGGTCGGAATAGCGGGCGTTTATGGTTATACATCGATCCGTAGTTACCTTTGCGTGCTTAATAACGTACATGAACTGTCACAAACCTCCCACACCACTCTGTAAGGCGCTGAAGCGGCGATCAGCGTGAATAGCAAGCCCGGGGATACCTGAGGGTCTGTACAATCCAACATTCGGCGACTTCAGCACTATGACATCTGCAATCTATCTGTTGTCAATCTACGAAATGTATGCTCGAAATCTCATCTGCACCGGCAATAAGAAACCGAATCTAAAGTGATGCCGATGGCCGCCATTGACAGCACGCATTTTCCTGCGCCATCGAGCACGGATGCATGCGCACATAAGCACTGTTCGTATACTATTTCATACATTTCCACTAACGCGAACTGCTCAAAAGTGCATGAACATATCAACGTATCCCGGTACGTTCCAAAATGGAGAAATCGATACCTAACTTAAAATAAATACCAAATTATTCCAGGTTTCCCGACCACGGAGGCCTGGTATGCAGTTTATAAAGCCCGGCATGCAGCCCATAGAGAGCTGACATGCCTTCCATGTATGCGTAACATGCCTCCCTCCGAGGCCTGGAATGGAGGCCACACATGCCTCGTATGGAGCCTGCGAGGTCCTGATGTTCTGCTCAGGGTCCTCGGTATAGCGAATGGTAGATATTTGCCACCCAATGGAAAGGATACTCGCAGTATCAAGCTTAACTGGCTAACGAAGTCAGCAGAAAAATTGAAACGACAGTTTTGGACTTCACTGCAAGAATGCCAGATGATGCTAGACATACTTGCATGGTTTTTACGTGAGCCAGCAACAAAAAATGAAGCTTTATATTATAAGCTTTATATTATTATAAAATAAAGCTTTATTAGAGGGCAATAAATCCACGTGCACTCAGGTTAGGATTTCTTGCTACTTTATACGTTGATCTCAGTGCTTTGAGTTTATTTATTTTACTACGACCAGTATCCTGAGCAAATGATAAAGACGTTATCGGATAGCACAGCGTTTCAGTAACCGTATCCTTTCTCAAGCATCGTCACTCATGCATTATGCGGTTGAAATCAATTATTTGCCTGGTGGGTATATCGCATGTCGACATTTTGCCTGCCAATATCTAACGGTGTCCATACTCTGCCAGGACATCAATATGCAAGTTGATATACCATGTGTCTATAAATCGCGTGTCATGACATGCGGTCCACAAATGTCCGTCCATGGTAGTAAGGGAGTTGACATGTCCATTCACTACCGCTTGCATATGGACACAAATTGGGGCTATTTTATTTCCTGCCAATAGCCATGATAATGGCTCTCGCAATAAGCCTGCACTAAAAACAATGCAACAAATGTTCAAAACCCATCACAACCGTATGCACGTACCAACGCCAACCCCCATTCCTCCCATGTGAGGCTCGAAAGACATTAGACCGCTGCTCAAGTCTGGCGGCCACTGGATAGACAACAGCCGCACGGAATCGCTGGGTCGAGACCAGCTTCTGTAGCCAGCCCGCAAACCACACGCGCCTGTTGTGACTGCACCCCACAACTTGACTGTCGTTCCACGCCTGCGCAGGAACGGCACCTTACGACATTGCACTCTTGATATCGCGGCGAGCCGCTCGGCTGTGAAACGGAACAGAGGATCTCACGTGGCAGGTGTGCTCCTGAACACGTCAGACACGGCACTGCCACGAACAAGTGTAGCAGAAATATGTGTCAAGTACAAACCCGCTCTTCGCCGTCAGGTTACTCACACGGGTCACGATGATGAAAAAGAGAGGCAAAACGCGCATGACTGGCATCCTCTGTGGTAAACCTCATATTCCTGACATACTTCCGTGGCGTGAGACGAGATGACCGCTGAGAGGATCGGCGCACGTCGTGCCGTCTTGTAATTAGAAGCACCTTACGTGGTAAGTGGGCCTCATCGCGGCAGTAACGTTGACTCACTTACAGCCGGGCGGGCCGATGAAGCGGAACACTGTTGGCAATTTGAATAGAAAACAGGCGCAGTATAGCGTGCGGGAGGCGCAGACATTTGACTGGTGCGCCACCGGCCTCGCTTCATTCATCTCAGAGCTGTGGACATTCCGAGGCCGCCTGGAATGTGAGTAATCATTCCCGAGACTAGGGCGCCCAGGCGGCACCCGATTCCGAGACAGTCGGCCGCAGCCGAGATTGCGTGTCCAACTTCCGGGTCATGGCGGTGTTCAGCGTGCCGTCAGTGGTACTATGCCGTCAGTGGTTCCGACTACTGATGCTGTGCCATCAGTGGTACTGTGCCGTCAGTGATGCTGTACCGTCAGTGGTATTGTGTCGTCAGTGATATTGCTCCGCCCGTGGTGTTGTGCCGTCAGTGGTACTGTGCCGTCAGTGGAACTGTGCCATCAGTGATATTGTGCCATCAGTGGTACTGTGCCGTCAGTGGTATTGTGTCGTCAGTAGTATTGCGCCGTCAGTGACAATGTGCCGTCAGTGGTACTGTGCCGTCAGTAGTATTGTGTCTTCAGTGGTATTGTGTCGTCAGAGGCATTGCTCCGTCCGTGGTATTGTGCCGTCACTATTGGTACTGTGCCGTCAGTGGTACTGTGCCGCCAGTGGTATTGCGCCTTCGGCGGTATTGTGTTGTCGGTGGTATTGCTCCGTCCGTGGTACTGTGCCGTCAGTGGTACTGTACCGTCAGTGTCGGTGTGCCGTCAGTGGTCATGTGCCGTCAGTGGTACTGCTCCAGTCAGTGGAATCGCACCAGCCAGGAAAATTGGGTCGACAGGACACGCAGAGGGCGCATTTTCATTCACGTCATGCCGATGCCGCTTACCATGCGACTTGACAGCAAGAGGCTGGTAACACCAACGGTACATAGAGCAGCCCTGTTCTGTGCGCAGCACCGCAAAGACGCAACTTATACCCCGCATAACAACGCTCATTGCTCACTCGGAAATGCCGTTAGTTTGAAATGACCGTGTGGTGTGAAGGCCCTTCCCATTGGTATAGCTACTCAGTACTTTTACTCACGCAACATTGCAACTCATACATTAACAGTGTTGCCAT